AGATGAAGCATAATTTTTATTTGTCAATATGATAAATTAATGTATTTGCAGATTGTTTTATAGATAGATGTTGTGCTTATACTAATAAATTAAATAAAAAGAAGGAAATAAAGATTTAATTATTTCATGTCAAAAAGGATTGGACGTGTAGAGTCATCTTGGTTATCAGGACCGATAATAACCTCATCGAAAGTGCTTGCAAAAGTAGGAACAAACCCATAAAACATAACGAAGAAATATGCGTTAATACCAAAAATAATAATTTCTGATGTAAATGCTAAATGGTATTAATATTATTTATAATAAAAATCAACTGAATAACAATTGAATAACAAACTTGTGCTAAAGAATGATGAATAATCACTCATTAATAACATAAAAAATTCAAGTCCAATAACAAGAAATGAACCTAGACAGAAATACAGACCCTTTCTAATATTTTCTTGTCTTTTAATTGTTTTATATGAAGTAAAGAAGATAAAAATAATCCACACAAAAATCACAGTTGCACTAATCACTGAAATAACATAAAAAAGTACTGCAACTGTTGTTGTTGGTTTTGTAACAGAAAATGGGTTATCTGTCATTCCTTTTAAATAAACTGATGCTGAGAACGAGAAAGAAAACATCATAATTAAAGTACTAAGAACAATAACAATCCATTCAACTTTTTTATTTAATAAAATTCCTTCTTCCTAATGATATTATTCATTTTTTCTTCTTTTATTATCAAATAATCATAAAAGTAAAATAACAAACAATTCTTATTGATTGGAAGAAAGCAGTTATAAAAAAGACTAAATACCCAAGGAATAAAATATTCATTATTCCATGAAATATTGGGAAAAATGCTGATGAAATAGCAAGTGATAATAAATCAAGAGGATCATTATAAACAAGTCCAAAAATCATTAGCCCTATATTTAAATATTGTTGTTTGTCTAAGTCTCTTGGATAAATTCTTTTGATAATTAAATAAATAAAATAATAAATAATATATCCTGAACATATTATTGTTAAAATGATATTATAAACAATTCTCATAGTTGAATATGACTTACTTCCATATACTTGCATTAAACAAATATTAGAAATTACATTTTTTGGTCCTTGAATAGTTACTTCCATTCGTTGTTCTTTTTGCATAATATATGGCTCATTAATCCATTGAACTATTCCACATTCTCCATTTCCTCCATTATAACATTTAAGACTTGTATTAAACTCTCCTCCTTCCCAATAGTTCCATGTTCCTTTTTCTCTATAACTTAATGTAAGATTTGTATTAATCTCAAGATATAAAAATGATGAATGATAATTATCAATATAATTCTTATGAAGATATGGAATAAAATATAATTTGGTATATCTATTCATAGAATCAAGTCGTTCAAAATTAAAATAAAATGTCTCTCCTGAATTTGGATCAATTCCTTGACAATTATTAACATCATACTCATTCATGGAATTATCATTACATTTGTATGCACACTCTGTTTTAGTTGTATACCTTGTTGGACCTATTCATCATCTTAATTTTCTTCTACTTATATAAAATGAAATTCTATTAAACAAACCAAATAATTGAAGAATAGTTCCTATGAAAATAGCACCAATAACAACTGAAGGAATAATAATCATGTCATAAACCTTAAAGTTATCAATTCTCAATTGAATTTTCATTAAAGCACTAATTTAATTAAATTCTTAGTTTTTCACTTTCTTCTTTTTTCTTTTCATATCTTTTTATATCTCCATCAATTTTCCTTCTTTAAATGATTTCTTAGTTACTTAACTATCCTCAATCATCTAAACACAATCACTATCTCATTAATGTATTCTATTGATGTCTTTGATAATTTCAATATTTCCACAAAAACTTCTTCCAAAAAAACTATCTCCACAAAAATCAAATGGAAGTCAATAACATAATTTTAAACCCTTTTTTTTGTTTTTAAAAAGAGTTAAGGATTGAGATACAAAAATCAAAGTAAAGAAGAACTACAAAGCCAGTTGTAAAATGTCTGATAAAAGATACACTGTTTTTCCTACTCGTATGCAATTAACAACTTACAAAGGAAAATTGGTTGGTGCACAAAGAGGTCATGATTTATTAAAAAGAAAAACAGATGCATTGAACCAAAAATTTAAGTCAATTCTCAAGAAAATTATTGAAGTTTGTTGGTTATAAATTATTTGATTGACTTAATAGTAGAATCTTATTTATTATATAGGAAAAAATGTCAATGAAAGATTATATGAAAGCATCATCATTCTCACTTGTTTCAGCCAAATATACTGCAGGAGAGTTTTCTCATGTGGTAGTACAAAATGTTAAGAACTCAACATATAAAGTTAAGTTGACACAAGAAAATATTGCTGGTGTTAGACTTCCTGTCTTTTCACAATCTCATCAAGAAATCAGATTACAAGATTTGACAGGTTTATCAAAAGGAGGACAATCTGTTGCTAATGCTCGTCAACAATATCTTAAAGCACTTGATTCATTAGTTAAATTAGCCAGTCTCCAAACTGCTTTCTTAACATTAGATACTGTTATTAAAATTACTAATAGAAGAGTTAATGCATTAGAACATGTTGTTATTCCAATGACTCAAGCCACAGTAAAATATATTGAGACTGAATTAGATGAAAGTGAAAGGGAAGAATTCTTTAGATTAAAACTTATTCAAAATAAAAAGAAGAAAGCTATTGCTATTAAAGAGGCTGCTAAAGAAAAAGAACAAAAAGAACTTAAAGCTCAAGGTAAGGTAAGTATTTCTAAACAAGAAAAACCACTAGATCTTGTTGGAGAAGAAGATGAAGATATTATTTTTTAATTGAAGGTTGAAATGCAAATAAAAAGAAATGAATTAATACATTCATTTTATCTTTAGTAATTGTCAAATAAATAAAAAATAATTAATTGATATGAATAAATTAAATTAAGTTAAAATTGTGTTTCTTATTATCAATTTTATTATTTAATTTCATTATTCATCATGAATAGACTTTATCCCTTCTTGTCTTTTATATCCTGCAGAGACAATTATTTTTCTTCCATCAATTTCAAAATTATTAAACTCAACAATAGCAGCACTTTGTTTCTCTTTATTATCAACTTCAACAAATCCAAATCCTTTACTAAATATACGACTTCCTTTTCTATAAGAAACAACAACAGCTTCTTTTGGTTCATATTTTTCAAATAACACTTTTAATTTTTCATCAGTAATTGAATATGGTAAGTTTCTAATAAAAAGAAGTGTTTCTGATAATTCATTATTTTCTTCATTTTTATTATCACTGGTATTATGTTTATTGTCTGTTCTATTTCTATTGAAATGTTTTCTACTAATACCTCTTCTTGGATAATTAAATCTTCTTTCATGGTATTGATGTTGTTCTTTATGTTCTTTTGGTGGTTGTGCAATTTGGATGTGAAGTTTTCTTCCCATAAATTCAATGTCATTAGCTGCAAGTGCCTTGTTTGTTTCTTCTTCAGTTTCATATTCAACAAAACCAAATCCTTTAGAACGTCCTCTGTGAACCATCAAAATACAAGACTTAAGCTTGCCAAAAACTGCAAAGTATTTTTCCATGTCTTCTTGTTTTGTTTGAAATGAAAGGTTTGATACGTAAATCTTAGTCATTGCTTGAAGTAAAGATCTCAATAATATAGTTTTATTTTACAGATAAAATAAACAATTTTATATTTTTTGTTTTTAATTCTCAGTTTCATTTATGTTTTATAAAACTAAAAAAAGAAAATGGATGAAGAAAAGAATAAAATACAACAACTTCTTGAAGAGGTGAAGTTATTAAATGAAAGGATTACTTTTCTTCAATTAAAAAGACAATTTCCTAATGCCCTTGATGCATTAGCATATTTAACATCAAATACTAATGAAGAGCTCCAACAAATATATAAAATTTCACAAGATGACATAAAATTAACTAAAGAATGTATTAATGATGCATTAACATATACAGAACTTTATAGAGAACATGTCAGTCCATTAATTATTGCATGTGTAGCTCGTTTAAGAGAAGAAGAAATGATTTGTTTAGAAGAATGTATTATTTTAATTAAATCAAAGAAAATAGCAGAAGACAAAGGGAAAGAAATAATTAAGTTATTAGGAGAAAATAAAAAGAAATTAGTAGAATTTAAAATGGAAATAAATAATAAAGAAGAAAAAAAGGAAGAACAAATAATAAGAACATTTGGTATTGAAAATGATATAGAACGACCTATTTCAACACAAAACATTGAATTTAAACGACTTGAAGAAAGACTTCAGTTTGAAAATATTACAACATTATCTCATTATGTTACAAGACAAAATCCACGAGTAGTATATTTTGAAAAACAATTAAATGTAACTCAACTCATTAATTCAATAAATGGAAAAGAAAATATTATGTTAATTTGTAGAACAACTAATAGTAACATTTTCTTCGGTACTTATTGTCAAAAGAAAATAATTAAAAATTCTTTTGGAATAGATGATCCATCATTCTTTATGTTTGTTACTAATAAAAAAGATTTATATTGTTTTATTAAGAAATCAGTTAATGGATCAACCTTTATGATATCAGATAAAAAAGAAAATAAAGTCATAGAAGTAGATAAATGTTTCTCAGTAGCGTTTCAAATAACTAATGCTTTTATGAATACTAAAGTACTTAAATGTTCATTTTCTAAAGAATTAAATAAATATTATATAGAAAAAGATAATAAAGAATTACCATTTAAAATAGGAAATTCTATTAGTTATGAAGTACTTTCTGTTTATGCTCTTCAATGGAATTAAAATGAATGAACAACTTAAAAACAAACATTTCATTTCTTAAATAGTTATTTTCTTTTCATTTCATTTTTTTTTATGAAAATCTTAAAAAAAATTAAAGAAAAAAAAAAAGAACTTTAATTGTATTATTATATTGTTGTATGAGAAGAAATACATTAAAAAACTATGGATTTATTAAACCAAAAAGTAGATTTAATTTACTTCTTCTCGAGCCTGGAGAACAATACTTAAATGATTGTGCATGTACATACATTGATAATAATCGACAACGAGAAATAACAGGAACATTAAAAATATGTTCATTTTCAATATTTTTTGCATCAAATGAACAATCATTTCCAATAAGAAGAATTAAATATAGCGATATAAGTAGTATTAGTAGACTGAACAATAATGATATAATTATTGTTAGATCAAATAAATATACAGACATGAAAGAAGATAATATATTAAAACCATACACATTAAATGAAGAAGAAAAAGAACATAAAATAGAATTAAAATATGTAAATTTTGAAGAAATATATCAATTAATAAATAGAATGTATAAATTAATTTTAAATGGAGATAAAGAAGATATATATGAATATAGTAAAGAGTATATCCATTCAAGACTTAATACACTACAACCAAATATGAGTATGTTTAAAAAAGTAGATGAAAAAATATTAGAAAATTGTTTTGCAACACAAATATTACCTTTAATGGAAATAGCAGGAAGATTTATATTAACACAATATTCATTTTATTTTATTCCATATGTTGAAGAATCTATTGTAACTAAAAGTGGAGTATTAAGTGATGTTGTTTATTTATTTAGAAGAAGATATATTATGCAACATAATGGATTAGAATTTTTCTTTCAAAAATCATCAACATTTATTGTCTTTGAAACAAAAGAAGAACGCGATAAAATAGAAGAAATAATTTATAAATCTTCTAAAATTAAAATTAAAGCTGATGATGGTTCTCAATTTAATGAAATGATAAACAAATGGAAAAAAAGAGAAATAACAAATTATGAATATTTAATTTATCTTAATTTTATTGCAGGAAGAAGTTATAATGACCTTACACAATACCCAATATTTCCTTGGGTTTTATCAAATTATTCATCTTCATCTATTGATCTTAATGATTCATTAAATTATAGAGACCTTTCTAAACCAATTGGTGCATTAAATCAAGAAAGACTTGAAAAACTAAGAGAAAGAATGTTAGAAATGACACCACCTTTATTCCTTTATGGAACACATTATTCAACACCTGCATATGTTGTTTTCTTTTTAGTTCGTTTAGTACCTGAATTTATGTTACATCTTCAAAGTGGAGTATTTGATAAACCTGATAGAATATTTAGTAGTATTGATGAATGTTGGAAAGGTGTATTAAGTCATACAAGTGATGTAAAAGAATTAGTTCCTGAATTTTATTCAAATGTTAATTTTTTAAATAATAAAGAACATGTTTATTTTGGATTTAGAACTACTCAAGACCTTATTGATGATGTTAAATTACCTAATTGGGCTTCTTCTCCTCAACAATTCTCTCAAATAATGAAAGATGCTCTTGAAAGTGATTATGTCTCTGAAAACTTAAATAAATGGATAGACTTAATTTTTGGTTATCTCCAACGTCCACCTGCTGCTTTTGATGCTGATAATGTTTTTTATCCTGCAACTTATGAAAATGATTTTACCGATTCAACTACTAGTGGATTTAAAGACCAAATTCGTGAGTTTGGTCAAACCCCTGCTCAACTCTTTCAAATACCTTCTCCTGAAAGAAATTCTTCTCTTCAAATTAATTACCCTCTTCCTCCTATTCAAGCTATTGATCTTAATGATTCATTTGATTCTACTCCTTTAAGTATTATTGATTTTAAATGTTCTACTACTCCTAAAACTCGTCAAGTTATAGAAATTAAAGGATTAGATAAACCTCTTATTCTAGAATCAGTTAACATTGATTTGGATGAACCAAAACAATTCTCTCATTCATCTACTTCTACTAAATCTCAACAACCTGAACAACATAAACCTACTTCAGGATTTTTCTCTTTTAAAGGATTGTTTAGTGGAAAGAAATAATTAAATTATTGTTACTTTTCATTATTGCTTTTAACTTCTAATAAAAACTTATTTTTTAATTTAAATTCATGTTGTATTTCTCTTTATTCTTATTT